TTTCTCAGTTTTTCTCCACTGTCGTTCCACTTCGCATCACTATACTCAGTTTCAATCGCCATAATACCCTCTTATTAAGCCCGACTTCTGCCTTTAAGAGGATCTACTTGCAAACTTTCCATAGATGTAGCGTCGGGCGACCGGTAATAAAAGAACGGATTCAAAAAGGATTTTCAGCTATGTTGGAAAAAAAGCAAAACACTAAACGCCAGAGCGAACCCACAATCCCTTACATGAGAACCGCTACCAACTGCGCTACCGAAGCTTCTCCCGCGAACCCTCGGTTCTCATCTCGATACTTTCATAATGCAGTTAACATGTGATTGCAGGCAAGACACTGAAAATCAAGGGCGGCAACAAAAACCCTCCGTAACTTCTTTCAGAGAAGAGTTCAGCAGATAATGAAAGCAGATTTGAGTTCAGCGTCTGATGTTGCGTGCAGAAATGTGCACCTCATTTCATTTGGCCGGGTTGGCCTAATGACCCTTCCTGGTTAGATGCAACCAAGTGTTTTCAGTAATGCTCAATGTGTTTAATTCATCGGGACTAACTGAAGTGGAATGACGTATTGAGGCCATGAAAAGGCAAATTTTGCCCTCATTCGCTTTGGTGGTTTCAAAATCCTTTTGGACGAGTTTGTCAGTAGAAACAGATGTCTTGCCACACGACTGGATTTATATTCACTTCAATTATTCGTTTTTATCTACATGTTCGCGTTGATGAATAGAAAATGAGGAATGTACTGAACAGATCTTTTCGTCAGCTCCGGATAACCTCTGCTAAACTAAAGAATATTTGGCCATTTGTAAGGCACGTGGTTCTCGATTATGCTGATGTATGGTCTATGAAATAAACACAAGAATTTGGGAATAAATTGGGCATGTGCGAAAAAGTAAATGTAATGGGATATTGTGGCAATTATGTATGGCACATACATAGTTGCCACAATGTCCTGAGGTGCAAAAATGGCGGCATACTATTTGCCGCGCTGCCGTCAAGGTGCCAATGAGCAAAATCTCATCTTCTCTCGATCCCCGTCCTCTGAGCAAGGGAAAACGCGCGGACTTACCACTGTCCACCTCTCCATGTCGGTGACGGCTCACACACCGATCATGGACTTAAAATATGCAAAAGAACCCAATGGCCAATGCAGGGGTCGTAGAGATACCTTCCGAGAGGGAATGGGCGTAAAATTTTGAAAAATGCGCAACGCACAGTTGACCATGAGCATAGCACAGCTCGTGGGCACCTCGCGTGCGTTTTCAAATCTACTCGCACAGCTCATGGGCATTACAAGCCGCGCTCGACACGACCGCGCCCAAACCTATAAACGTTGTCTGGGAGCCCAACACGCATATGACAGTTGTGATCACTAAGACAGCATACAAAGTTTCACGCACAAAGATTGAGTCCGAAGAGCAACAAACTTACAAAAACCACACTCTATGGACAATCGAAGCTAACCAGGAAGGTCTTTCAAGACATGGAGCCCTTTTTGAAAACAGTTTTTTTGCATGATGAAGGGGCACACGCATGGAGTACAAAACTAGGCTCCATTTTTCTAAGCAGCCCTCCGAATGCCAAAAAAAAGAATGAAAAAAATTCTTCAGAAATCGGATCTTTCACACTTTCAACGTGGTTTATATCACTCGTTATGTTAAGTGGACGCACAACAGGTTTTCTTAACCTGAACGTTGAAAACAGCGTGGAATAAAGCTAATACCAAATATTGTGTATAAGTGCTCAAAAGCACAAGAAAGTTTCATCAGAGTCGTTGTCGATCGATCGGTCGATTCGACGTACAGCGGTGGTCGGATGGATGGTCGAGTGGATAGCGTGATGGACCTAGTTGGCACGGTTTGTTGTTGTTTTTAATTCGGTTCCCCTCCATGCTCTGACTTTTGCATTTTTCCGATTATCACTTTATTCCATGAGCGACTCTCTATTAATCTCGGCATGATAGTATAGTATTAGTTGCTTTTGTTCGAGCTTCCGAGATTGGTATATTACTTTATTTCGGCTTACGTTTCGGCTACGGCCAATATGGGCATTCGATGTGGCATGGGCGGCGAACTAGGACAGAAAGCGTACAGCAAGAAGAGCAGGTAAAGATATCATTTTGCTTCCCTTTTATTTCTGATGACACGAGCGCTGCGATTCGCGCCTGTCTGAGAAATGCGGATCTCCAGGGTATTGTGAGAGTGGTCGAGATTCCCCCTACAAGTTTGAAAAGGCAGTTGGTCCGTAATCGCCTCTATGACCGACTCTGTCTAACTCCTTCCTGCGTCATTTGCCCTTTCGGAAAAGCTGGCGATTGCATGATGTCAGGAGTCGTTTATCTAATAATATGCCAACTATGTGGAGAGGAGTATGTGGGAGAAAGAGGCAGGCCGTTCTGCGTAAGGTTCAAGGAGCACCTAGACGAGCTCAAAAAGGCCAAAACTTCCACCCCTCTAGGTGACCACAAGGTGCGGTATCATGAAAACGCCAGCATGGAGGTGAAGGTTACGATCTTGGCAAGCAAACAGGAGTTATCTGCCCGCAGAACCCTTGAAGCTATGTGCATTGCAGCAGAGGTCCCAAAGATCAACAGGAAGGATGAGTGCGTGGCGATTGATAGAGAGTTCGCACCCTTTTCGGACCTCTGTGGATTTTGGTCTACGCGGTCAATACTCCCGCGGGGCGCCGAGGCGGGAGTTTCGGGCTTCAACCCAAAAATCAATGGCTGATGGGAAGGCGTGGCGATCAGCAAGTACCATCTTTTTCGCGGGTTCTGGGGTATCCCTGATGTTCCAGCTACAGTAAAAGAATAACTCTGCAAGTAACCACATAAAAACCTTGCGCACGCTGAAGGAAATACTTTTGTTTTGCTGTTGTCCTTTTTCTCATGTGAAAAAGGATTTAAACGAGTCATTTCCAAGGTCAGAAGTTGATTTGTGAATATGTGACGGTTGAATGGATGGATAGGTACTTTGTTCTTGCCTATGAATAGACTGAGCTACTCGACCATTTGGGAACCTAACGCTAGAAATGGATTACTACTGAGGTGACCTAAATTAAGTAAATGTGATTATGAACAATTTTAGTGAATTTCATTTGCTGACGATGGAATTTGTTAGGCTGTGATGCAATGCACAACGACGTTTTCTGCGCACTGATAATAATTCACAATACAATCCAGGATTTAGGAAAGACATAATTCGCAGACGAAGTTAGGTAAGTTAGGACAGTGAAGTAACGTTGTGAAATAAAAGTCGGCGGATTCCATCTAAAGATTTGCTTACTTTCAAGTGTCGGTCAATTGACGAAATGTCGCTGTTGAACAGACTTACTGTGATCGGCATTGACGCATGTCGCCAACGTGTTAAAGCATGTTAGGTGTAACTTCACGACTTCTTCCAGTGGTCGGATGGTCGAGTGGATAACGCGGTGGGGTTTGGTTGGCACGGTTTGTTCGGAGTTGTTGGTTCGGTTCCCCTCCAGGGTCGGATTTTTGCATTTTTCCGATTATCACTTTTCTGCATTTACATGTACTTGCGCGTGAACTTAAAGCATGTAGGTGTCATTTCCAAGTACTTTCTCCCACAATACTGCGATATTTCGTAGTACTATTTTTTTTCAGTTATGCACGAAATTCCGTTTACAAGCAATAAATAACTAGCAGTTATGGTAAGACTCAACGAAGCATCTAAATCACAGGCGCGGATCACACCAACTGCATCTAACTTACGCCAGAAAAGTGCAGTTGTCATTCTCAACACCTACTCCATTTCCATTGAAGGCAGACTGCCGGCGTTGAGGAACGTCAAGGATGCTCGTCGACGTATGCCAGTGCCCACCCAGGAATACGCCATGCATCGACGAGATCAAGGGGTGATGCCAGATTGCCCCATGGGCAGGAACTGCGGTGGAAGTGTAACTATCAACCAAACGTGCCGCTTGCTATCATCTCGAAGCTGCCTCCAAGTGGGAAGCATGCATGCCGTACTGACTTAGGCTTACCTATGGCCCAATTTTTGAATTCGGGATGAAATCTTGATCTTCTCTAAAACTGCGGCCACAAGGGCAATTATAGGCGCTGATGACGAATCTAACGTTCATTTTTGATGGAGGCGCGATATTGCGCCATTTCAGCCTCCTCGGGCTCCAACTCGGCGCCGCTTTAGCGCCATACAATTTTCGCCCCGATTCTGAGCAGAAAGCTAATCAGCAAGGTTGACGATGACCCTGATTGTAAGAACAGTACCTATTTTTATCGGCAGTAACATTTGGAGCCATTTAACATACGCTAACATGAAATGCAAAATTTTGTCATCAGCCGGGAACGATCCTTCGACCGATTTTTCATACTTTTGGCATTAGGAGGGCCGCTCAGAAAAAATGGAGCCTAGTTCTGTACTCCATGCATGTTCCCCTTTATCATGCAAAAAACGTTTTCAAAAAGGACTCCATGTCCTCAAAGACGTTCCTGGTAAGTGGCGCGGAGCCAAAGACGGGGCATGGAAAGAAGTCTGCCTTGGGGCGGCTACGTATCCGACGACGCAGTGAGACAATCGGGTTGAAACGTGCGACTTTGGAGAGTAGAGACAAATCCATCGTTAGAATAGGATGCAGTAGAAGCGTGAGATGTTAATGCAATAATTCAAAGGATCAGAAAGAGTTACTAGTGGCGACACGCCGGGAACCAGGTGGAAGCATCCCCGTCGCCCACATTTGTGACAGATGTCCGGAAGTACTTTGGACGTGTGCAGCTCATTCATTTTTTCGAATTTTTCACCAAAACAAATGCAGATTCTTTGCTCTTTTTGTTCCAATCATGAACAATGGATCCTAATCCAGTGAATTAAGGGTGAAATAGAATAAGAGTTTCCGAGAAGGATTCCCTAACAAGCAGGCGGTGTGCACAAGATGCCAGCAGCGCCATCGAGATTTGTATAGTCTGACTTATGGCTAAAAGAATTACAAACTGGATTAGACCCTGGAACTATTGAACCTCACCTAGACAGCACCATCGCGACAGCATCGTTCAAAGCACTTTCACCGAAAACTAAGGCAAAGAGGTCAGCTTCGACGTTCATTTCGGCGAAGAGTGAGATAACGGTAACTGAAGCCGAAGAATAATATGATTGGCTACTGTAAAAGAAAGAAAACCAAATTCTCATAGCATACCTGGGTCGGTTGCTGAAATTAAAGCTCCGAAAAAAAGAAGCTCTTGGAATGAAAATCCCATGTTGAAAATCTTTGTAAACACGTACAACAACGACCTGAACATAATGTGATGCCACAAAAGCCTCTATAGAAGATCGAGTTAAACTGACCCAGTTGCAAAACATGAAATTGTGGTGCCGATGAACGCAAACACGAGTATGCTGCCAATGTTTCGAAAGAAATGACGTTTTTTAAGGCTGTAACCCGCGTTGAAGATGATTGGTGGTAGCATGATGTTAAAGAAAATTTCAGGAGAGAATGCACTCTGAAAAGCATGAAATTTATGACCACAAGAGTATTTGGACGTTGACAAGTCGTACATAGACAATAGAAACTCATTATTAGAAAGAACGCGCGCGACGACCATTTCATTGATTCTAAGAAAAATGTGTGAAACAAATTCCCACAATAGTATACCACTTACCTTTTGTTCTATCTTTTGTTCATTGTGCTTCTTCTTATCAGCATAGAAACCTTCCATTAACTCATAATGGAATGATACATGTGGAGCACCTTCTGGTTTCACCTCCAGCCTTTAACATTTAAAGTTCACGAACCAGTTAAAGAGAATTTATTTTGAGATATGTGATGTATGTCCACATCGAGAGATATTCTATATTTGTTCTTCGAGACCACTTCATTTGGTCTGGTTGAAGAAAAGCAAGCCGATGGGGATCATAGGGCGCACCGATTTCAGAACGCGTTTAAAGGCAAAACTCACGATAAGCTGATACCGTTGAAATGAAGAATTAGATGCGTAATAATATTGCCAAATGCTGTGAAAAGAAGGGAAGCAAAATTATGAAAACACGGGAGTGGCACCCTCTTCTCCGTTGACTTGAAAGTTGGATGAGTCAACCCTGGCTATTGGCGTATCGGCGGCCGTTGCAACAACTTTTCTTTTAGAATCATATCATTACTAGCCATTCCATTAGTTAGGCTGATGTCAGAGTCCGCGATCCTTTGCGCGATTTGCGCGAAACCTGCGATGGGTCACAGGAGTTGGAAGTGCCCGATGAATACTGTGAGGTGTTGTTTAATCCTGCTGCAAATTCTGCTTGGCAGTAAAGATTGGAAGAGGAATGTTGTGGTTCCACTTATTTCATGTTCAATGTCTATTAGTTCATTGAAATGCTCTTGAATCGTTCCATTTTTTTTCAGGAATCAAACCAAACCAATCACAAAAAATGCAAGTGCCCCATTTGAAAATTGAAACACTGGATATGAATCAAATGGAATCATGAGCAGTCTCCATTAAACCATAACCATCAAGCAGAAGTGACGGCGGGATTGGAGAACACCTTGCAGTATGGATGGGGCACTTGTGATTTCCGTGACCGGTCGCGCAATTCTCCAAAATCGCGCAAATCGCGAAAATCGCGCAAAGGATCGCGGACTCTGACATCAGCCTTATCGTCATAATGAGTTGTACTCCTACTGCGCAGATAAATCATCCATCAGCGAAAGCAAAAACTGAAATGAGTAAGATTTCAAGGTAAAGCAGCTCGATATGAAAGGAAACACTAATGAGAAGAAAATCACACAGCACATCTAATTTTGAGTATGTTCGGGATCCGCTGGATAATTTTGACCTTATGGCTCTAAGAAACTGTGCTTTGCCGCGAAAGCGCCACATACTGTCATACTACATTTTTGTCTACGTTGACGCCCTCTACAATCTCCACCACCCATCTTTCTTTTGTATGCACATCAATCTGAATAAGGTTCGCGCATGTATTTCACTAGGACAGAACGCGACGTTTTCGCTTTTCGCACAGCGATGCTTTTACGCTGCGAAAACCCAGGTCCACTGCTGATCAGAAGGAGGAGGGGACCTGGGGTGCCCGTAGCAAAAGCGAAAAAGTCGCTTTCTGTACTGGCAAACCATGTCCCACAAATTTGAGCGAGTTTTGCCTTCAATTGCAATAATGAGTAAATTTCCGCTCAGTTCTCTCATCTTCTTATCCACCTGCATATATAACTTCAGTCAAACGCACTGCACTTTCAGTAGATTGTAATTGCAAAACAGTCGACATATCGAATATGAAAACTACAGCTGAACTAAACCAACATAACCAACCTCAAGTAATCTGGAGGCTCCTCGATAACCGTACGATCTTTTAGTATTACATCATAAGTCTGCGACTCTAGCAAACCAATGTCAAAGTACCGAATAACAAAACCGATTAATAACCCTGAAACCTTGATGAATGATAAAGCTACAAGAATACGAACCCCATCACTCACCGTAGAACAATGTAAGCCCAGTTTCATGTACAAACATAAATCGATAATGCTTGAAAAGCCACGACGTTAACACAATTACTACAAGCACGGAGATGTAGGTGAGTAGGATTATGGAGTCCAGCCGATGAATATTTTCAGCTCTCTAAATATCACAGTAGAAGAACACATTAGGAATCATTATGAAAATGAACTCTAGCGTTAATAAGTTGCTGCTAACTAAAAACGTTGCTGAACTGTGTTTGCCACCAAGTGCTCTCCTTGAAAATTTGTTTGGCTTCCTAGATTCAGCGCAGGTGGTGCTAAATGCAAGTGGCACATTATGGACGCCATGGAATGGATGAGATTTAACTCGATTTTTACTGATGTTCGAGTCTCCCAAAAGCAAGTCTACCAGAACGATACTATCAAACTTATGCTCTGCAGACAGTGTTTTGGGGACAGATGCAATGCTATGACTGAGAATTTCACAACTTCATTTGCAAATACATGGCAATACACAGTAAAGGATAAAAGATAAAGCATTTGCTGTTGATCAATCCCTTTTTGGGACGTGGCACGCATTCTACTTCCATTTGAACATTCGTAGTGGCATTTGAATGCGATGTAGCCTATACAACGACTTGCTGGGCCCAGCCGATGTTCAAGTCAGTGTTTCTATCCTCCCACACAAGTCTGGTTCCAATCAACCGACCCCCAAAGGATGGAAGGCTTGGTTGGCCCGGGCGAACCACGAACCAGGATTTGATCCCCGGACCGCTCGCGTGGTGAGCGTGCCACTTGCCATTATACCACTTCCACCCGGCAATATACAGTGCGTTTCATAATTATAAGGCCACTCTGAAATTTTTCACTCTCGGAACAAGCAGCCGACTGGTGATTTTTCTGATATTACCAGCTGATTCCTCACCATGAATAACTCTGCATCTCGATTTTGGCGAGAGTTTTCTTCTAATTCTTTTTATAATTCTTTTTTTGATTTTCGCAAAGTTTCATTATTATAAAGTAACTCTGAGGATATCAGGATTACATTATGAGAAACAACAAATGGGACAGTGAAACTAAGTATTTGTTACATATACATCCAGGAGATGTACTCTAGAATGTTACGTATTCGTTCTGAAGAAAAGTCGAATTTCTCCATTTCGTGGTGCTCGGCTTGGTTCGTGAGACATTGCAAAGCAGTTCGAAAAAGCCCTTGCTCCGTTCATAGATATATATAGAACTGCTACGTCTTCAATTACACAAGCTCTAAACATCTATAAAAGGTTACTATAAATGATTAGAGGTGAGTTGAGGTCTGTACCAAATAATGGGTTGGAGCATGATATCGTAGCGTTTTTCTTTTCGAGCTGCGGATTCAGTAAATACAAGTATTACCTAGGAAATCAGATATACCCTTTGAAAGTACTTCTTCTGCTCTACAGTACCATGTTTGGCACTTTCTTCTATTCTGTAATTGTACTCAGATATGGCGCTTAGAAGTTGGAGTATCAAGGTGGGCGAAAATTTATATGATGAAAAAGCTGCCAAAATAGGGTTTTTCGGAATTCATTGTCATAATCGAACCTTACTCCAGTCGATCCTTAATTTCAAATCATATTCACATCGTAAAATTGAGAACAATGAGGATTCTAAAAACGGGCTTACTACCCTTCTTTGATTTTTAAACCGGTAATTCCTTGCGAAATGGAACCCAAAGTCGTAAATAACGACGAGAAGAACATCACTGATTTGTTTCATGCTTGGTTTTGCTTTTGGGTTTTGCTTTAAACGTTTTTGCCGAATGCGAGCGCTGCGATATTATGCTCCGACCCACTAACATAACACCACTTTAAATTAGATTCGCTCTTTATTCAATGTTTGTCTCAAAAACTATGGACTGAGAGCGATGAAAAGAAGCAGCGACACTGTCAGGAGAGCGACAGAGAAGGCTTAAAGGCTTGTTGACCATCACGAGGAGATACAGCTTCAAACCGTAAAGTTTAACTTGAAGAGAGATTGAATAAGGTCGAGCCTGCGTTACAGTCACACCACATACAGTCGATATCTCGAAGTCTGATAGGGCGTGTCACCGGAAATGACGTGGCAGCCACCGCACTTGATAGATGTTGTGTGGATAAAATGCTCCGCAAGATATCAGCAAAGCGTGTTGAAAACAGCTTATCCGGGCAACCTCTATCAAGTGCAGTGGCAGCCACGTCATTTCCGGTGACACGCCCAATCAGACTTCGAGATCTCGACTGTAGCTAACCTCGCATTCAAACGACCAGAAATTGTGCATTTGCAGAAATTGAAGTGGCATTAACGTGGCATCGGTTCAAGCACATCTTCGAGCACACGTGACGTCACCTTTCCATCGAGAATTTGGCCACGTGTGCCACGTGGATTTCTGGCTGCATGGAACAGAGTGTAGTTAATTTCAGTAATAAGCGGTTATACGACCAGCTCCTGTAAGTACAAATACTTGGCGTGACTTGCTGCGGTGGCCGATTCCCTTCAACACTCGCAATTTCAGTAAAGGACATGAGAAGTCTCTGTAACGATGTTATGCCGGTTCCATGACCTGCATAATGAACTCCAGGGATTAGCATACAGCCTTGCAAGAACATCTGGTCTCTATCTTGAGCTGATGAATCGGCTACAATACATTTTTACAAAACAGCACAGGTACCCATGTAAGTCACTCAACCAGAAGCAGAATTCCTTCAATCCCAGATGATCTGAATAGGTTATTCTAAAGTTCTGGTCATATCTCGGTTGTCATGCGAACAAATGCCGCTTAGGAACTACACAAGAGCGTACACAATCAACCTTGAAGCATGGAAGTGAATCGATTGTCAGCCGCCTTAGAATCTCGATTTCAGTATGCCGCGGAAGCAGTTTGGTGCTGGACTTGATAAGGAAGTACCAGAAATTATTGACTTTTTTTATTTCGGTCATTAATCTTAGACAATTGACCTTTGTCTCAGAGTGACCTTATCATTATAAAACGGTGCAAAAACCAAAACCAATTATAAAAAAAAACTTTAGAGAAAAACTGTTCCTGTAAAGAACGCGATGCAGGGGTTACTTGTGGTGAGGAATCATTTAGTGATACCAGAATTCTCAGTGGGCTGCTGGTTCCGGAAATGCAAGACCTCAAAGTGTTATAATTATGAAACGCACTGCATTACAGTACAGTACTAAGTAAATTAGCTCATGCTGTTTTAATAATTTTTTTAGTCAATGAGAATGAATATGTGAGCATTCCACAATGATAAACAATGATCACAAAACACTAAAGTTGTTTATATGTTGGTTCCATTGCCTTTATGGGTTCCAGTCTGTTTTTAATCCGGAGAGTCGCTCGACAGCAACTGATCATATGTATCTGAACACTCCATGAAAATGAAGCAAAATTCAAACACTGTACACGAGAGAGATCATGCTGAACATGATCTGGAGAAATTCTGATCTATACTGCCGCTGAGGTTTCACTAGTACTACCATTTGTAAACGAGAACACTGGAAATATGTGACGAAAGCTGTCATTCGTTAAAACTTGCAGTAAAGTTAGTTTTCTAATCACAAATGAACATCAAAAATCATCACCATGACTTGGCCCAGAGAATGTGGTAAAACCACTGCTTCTATAGCACGAAAAAAAGATGTGCCATTCACGAGGAACCGATTATTTGGCCGCATGTGATGGCTGCCTACGGAAGAATGAAAACGTGAGGCCACTGCGTAAAAGGATTGATGAATATGTACGAGCTATTGCGAAACTTTTGTCATCCTCGAAAGGCGGTTCCTCGCTTTTCTCTATGGTGAAGAAGCATGTCCAACATTATGCTTCACCGCCCGAATCTAAAGTCTCCATAAGGAAAAATACGTGCCGAGGCGCCTGCTATCGTGTGACTCTCCCGAAATCAACAACGGAGAGGGACTCACAAAGGTACTGCAACTTAAAATTAGCTGAGTGATTACAAGCATTGTATAATGTTAACGTACTGCAATTTATGCTGAATTTTCGATGATTAGAGAGTGAACTGTAGTAAATTCTCATATCAGCATAATCTCAATTGCTAGCCATAGCATGTGTTTTGAAACATTTCTTGCAGAACTCTATCCTTGCCGACAGTAATAATCTGGTTGGCTTGCTTCCGGAACATCCCATTTATGCTGTAGGCAATCGATTGTATGATTGAAGGTTGTTGAAACTACGAGAGTCAAAATATATTATGAAAGTTGCTACTAGATCTTCTAAGAAGTAATTTGATTTGATTTATTACACGATTGGCTCGTGTGGTCTTACAACAGTATACAAACCAAAAAGAAATATATATGGAAATCATGCGAAGAACTAACTAAGTGATATAAGGCGAAAAAAAGAAAAAATATGAACGTAAAAACAAGGAATAAGCTAGAAAAGCAAAAAGGAAAAAACAACAAAACAAAGGATGCATAGGAACCAGAAGTAGGAAATTACGCCAAGTTAGTCTTCTGTAGTGTGCGAGTGATTTGGGCGTTTGCCCCGCCTAATTATCCTATTGAATTCCATAGCAGCACGGTGACAGAAGAAATGGCTTCTATACCTAGAATTGGGACAAGGGATAAAAAACTTGACTAGTAGGAGTAGTAACATATTACCTATGAGACACAGGGACACTCTTCTACCATAACCGGAAGGGTCAACCATGGGGTGGAGATTCAAGAGTGTGGTTCACTAGGACAGAGATTGCTTCGCGCTCGCAGCGCGAAACATTTTACGCTGTGGGGACCTCAGGTCCACCACTGATCACATCAGTGGACTCTGTTTCCATAACGAAAATAGTTTCGCGCTGCGAATCGCGAAAAAGTCGCATTCTGTTCTAGTACCACACCCGGGAGCTGGGGCTGGGGTGACTTACTAAACTCGGCTCTCTTGACCTATGAACCCGTAAAATTATACGCGTCAGTTCACTTATGAGTTCTATAACAATTCGAGGAAATGATAATGTTCTTTCGTTGGGATATAGACCTTTCGGTGCTATCGCAACATAGAGGATAATACACCGCTTTTGTTTAACATGTGCATGCCGGTCAAAGTTACGTAGTTTAGTTACTTGTCGCAGTTGCGTAAGTTGCGGTTACATGCTAATACCTGGTTGAAGCTTGGAATGC